GCGGATCCAGGCCATCGCGCAGAACGTCTCCGACATCGCCGTGAAGGTGGACCAGATCCTGCGCCACAGCCTGGTCCTGCACAGCAAGGGTGAGCCCGGCCCTCCCTCTCCCCTCTCCTCCCCTCCCCCCTTTCCTCTCCTCCCTTCCCCCTCCCCCTCACGTCCCCCTCCCCTCAGGGTGTGTACAGCCTGGTCCTGCGAAGCTAGGGTGGGCCAGGGCCCCTCCCCCTTCCGCTCTCCTCTCCTCCCCTCCCACCTCTGCCCCTGAGAAAAGTGGGGGTACATTTGGGTGCATGAAGTCTGCCCATCCAGGCGGCTGATCCATAGCCAGCTCCTCACTGGGTCTGAACCCCCTAAGGAGGGGGCAGCCCAGGCCTGGGGGCCTCCTGGCGGGTGGCCTTCAGGTGAGAAAACGCAGACTGAAGGCTGTGCCAGCTCCTGCCCCCCTCCCCAGTGTCTGAAGGCCGGCGGGACCAGTGTGAGGCGCCCAGTGACCCCAAGTTTCCTGACTGCTCCGGGAAGGTGGAGGTGAGGCCTGGGGCTGAGGCCGGGGGTGGGGGTGGTCAGGAAGGGGGCTCCTTCGTGGGGGCCGCCCCCAGACGAGCTCTGGGATTCGCTGGCAGGGCTGTCTGCTAGCTAGGGCCTTCCTGCCCAGGCCCCCGCCCTGACCCTGGTGCTGGCGGGCAGGGCCAACCTCGGGGTAACTGCGTCTCTGAGGGCCATCGGCCTGGCCCACCCCCAGTCCCAGGCTGAGCCACGTCCAGCCCTTTTTCTAGCAAACGAGCTGTTAAATATACGGGTGCTCCTCCAGCAGCCCCATTCCCAGCAAATTCACACGAGGAGTGACATGGTCTGTCCTCACCGCTCGGGGGTTTAACCAGCTGCCCTGAGACTCCCTCACGGGGCCCACCTCCCGGGACCGACGGCTGCAGGAAGTCTGTCCATGGGGCAGTGTGTGGCCATGAAAGCAGCTCCTCACTGGTTCTGGGCTCCCTGAGAGGGTGGGGGCGGCACCGCGGACCCTTCCCCGCGGGAGCACTGTGGGTGTCCTGCCCCAGCCCCGGCCCTTGGGCTGCTCCTGACCTTGGCCCAGTGGACACAGCCAGGCCCAGCTGCCGCCCCTCCCGCCGTGTGCGGCCTGGCTTTGTTTCCCCGGGGTCTCTCTCTGGACCTGGAGGGTGGCGGTCCGGCCTGGCCCTCCCTGAGGTTCCCGGGCCGGGCCGGGGGCCTGGGGGCCTGGTTCACCCTCTCTTCCCTGCTCTGCCCTTCGCTGCATCTGTAGGGTGGGCCTCAGAGGCCCGTTCCATCCCGGGGGACCGCGGGATCCCCAGGGCCGTGTGTGCAAGGGGCGCGCGAGGGCGCGGGCGGGCGGCCCAGCTCCCAGGCCCAGACTGGCCTCTTCGCAGTGGATGCGCGCCCGCTGGACGTCTGACCCCTGCTACGCCTTCTTCGGGGTGGACGGCACCGAGTGCTCCTTCCTCATCTACCTCAGCGAGGTCGAGTGGTTCTGCCCCCCGCTGCCCTGGAGGAACCAGACGGCCACGCAGGCGGCCCCCAAGCCCCTCCCCAAGGCCCAGGTAGGCCCCGGAGTGGGTGGGCTCTGAGGGCGTTGTGGCGGGTCATCTGGCCTCCAGGCCGGACACCCTTGGCCACTGGCGCCCTGCCCGGTGGGTGGGCAGGTCCCAGCTCGCCCTGCTGGACGGGAAGCCAGCCTGACAGTGCCCGTCCACCTTCTGGGGATGCTGCAAACCTGGGGCCCTGGATGCTCCCCCTTAATGGACTAGAATAACAGTAACAGTAGCTGCCCTCCTTGAGGGCCTCCTGTGTGCCAGGTACTCTGTACTTGAACCTCCCGGGGCCCTGATGGGATCGAGTTTAGCAGATGAGGGATTGGAGGTCCAGAGAGTTGAGCTAGTTCAAGGCGCGGTTATCTGGCTCCCCGGGAAGGCGGCCCGACCTCTGTGGCCTTCGGGCCCTGCCCTGACCACTGCCGCTCCTGAGGCTCCGGACAGGCCTGCGTGGCTGGGGAGGGGGAGCAGGGACCCCCACTGTGGGGCCAGTGGGCTGCTAAGAAAGGGCGGGAGAAGCCAGAGCAGGCCCCGCCTGCGGGAGGTGCCAGCCCCGTCCCCGAGGCAGCAGGGGGTGGCGATGGTGGCTGCGGGTCTGAGAGTGAGAGCCGAGGACTGGCCTCCCCTCCAGGCGGTTTTCCGGGGTGACCTGTCCCACCTCCTGGACCTGATGGGCAGCGGGAAGGAGTCTCTGATCTTCATGAAGAAACGGACCCGGCGGCTCACGGCCCAGTGGGCACTGGCCGCCCAGCGCCTGGCACGGAAGCTGGGGGGCACCCAGAGGGACCAGAAGCAGGTACCTGACCCCCTGTCCGTGTTCAGGGGCTGAGCCCAGAGCGCTTAGGAACTGAGCACAGGGCCCCAGGGCTCCCAGGGGACACCGGGTGAGCCCTCGAAAGAGTTTTGTAGAATTTATTTGAATTTGAGCCGGA